AGCTCGTTTCCCGTGTTTTCATTTCCTCCTTTTCTTGGACAGAAAACGCTCAAAACGGCTTTTTAGCCGTTTTGAGTTTTTAGTACAAAATTTTTTTTTGTTTTCAAAAATTCATTTTCGAAAACGGGAAAGTGAACGCGTTTTCACTGTTTTGAAAAATCGAAAACAGAAAACGGTCCGAAAACAGCAAAGAGAACAGGGGCTTAGCTTCTACTTTTGATCTTCCATTCCCCATTGATATGGGCAGAAATTACGCATTTCCGTTATTCTTTTCATGCTAATTCAGTAAACTGTATTTGCATTTGAATTTTTATGCTAATTCAGTTAACTTTTTGTGCATTTGAATTTTTAGTCTCACTGACGTAGGAGCTTATATTTGACAACAAACAATTGGAGATTAAGAAAAGAAATGGAACAAAGAAGATATCAATCTATTCATATAATCAAGGGTTACAAATTACATTGAATAAGCCCTCTATTTATAGAGCGAATAACCTAAACTGAAAGAACTTCTAATAAACTAGAAATTTATCAATATATCAAATCCTAATCTAAGTAACATATTCTGAATTAAACTCTTATTTTAAAATTCTATCTAACTTCTAGTTCTATTCTATCTCTATCTCCATCACTTACAGCCAGGGGAAATGCTACATCCACCCCATCTTTCTAAATGCACCATTTGATCCAGTTTACCTGTATTTGTATTTGGAATTTATATGCTCACTACCATGGGATATTCCACATCCACAACCTTAACTTTTTAAAAAATACACTTCACCTGTTTGATGGGAAAGCTATTCACAGCCAATCCTGTGGTGAACAATTTTATCCATTATACCTGCCACAATTTTTTCTTTTTCTTATATTTCCATTGTAGAAGATGACCTGTTTCAGCTCATGTTTATAGGCGCTTTGATCAGTGCTTCTGTACATTTTTCAGTGAAAAAGAAAAAAATCAATAGAATTTAGTGTTTTCGTTCAGCTTTGGATAATAACTAACCCATTATTTTTGCAAGATCTTTTTTGGTTCCCATGTATTCAAATTGCAAAACAATTTGCATTGTGGCCCTCTATCAAAATTAGTTGGAAATATGTTAAATAAATTGCTAACATATAGTTTCAGAACATTTTAGTGAAAAATATTTGATTTGGATGATTCAACACAACAACTAAAACATTTGGTTGTGTGTTTTTCTTTCTTATTTTTGTCCAGTCTAGTCTAATTTAATGTATTAAACATGCAGTAAATGCTGTGCTGTTTGATTTTGCCATGTAGATTTTTCTCAACCTTTTCAAATCAACCACGGTATCGATATTGCCTTCGCAATAGTGCTGATGCTTTGAAATCATAATAATTCATCTTTAAGTGTTGCTAGAATAACTGGATCCTAAACTGATTATTTTATAAATGTATTTACTTTGGGATTGTAGAAAAATCAAAAATGTAATATTTAATATTTCCTTGCATTTGCGTATTTGATGGGCAAAATTTTATTATCTTGTCATTGTTTTGAACCTTTTTCTTGTACGAAGGAAAAAATTATGAATGAAGCAAAAGAAAAGTACGATCAGTTATTGAAAGAATCAGGTCCATATTGTCCTCGAGGTATCAGAAAGGATGTGAAGAAGCTATCAAGCAGGTAATTTCATTTGGAACGAGCTGCAGTGCCGGGGGG